GCTTTTGGCTTTATATGGGCATATACTGTATAAAAAAAAACAAACAAACAAACAAAAAAACCTAAGACTGACAAAGTAAAATTCAGCCCAGATTAACATACAGAAATTTAGAAAATCTATTTGATTTCCAGAAGAGGAATTCTGTCTACCTTCTTTACTATTGGACCCATGACATTTAGCATAGAACCCATCATATAGTTAGCAAAACATTGCATAAATTAAAAAATAAAATGTACTAATAGCAAAGTATTTATATTTCTTTGATGCAGCAATTCCAAATTTTACTGTTAAAACAAAATAACAAAACAGCACATCGCAATCTAAACACAGGAACACTTGGTTTACTCTTGCTTCTAAGTGATATTTATAAAATTTAAAAAACACAAGAAACTTACACTACAGGAAAATCAATGATAGATTATGCAGCCATTAAAAAGTAAATTTTTGAGTTTTTAAGAGAAAATTGTCACTGTATACTGGTTAAAAACTAGACATGAAAATGGTATCGCAGAATTCTAATTTTGTAAAAAGAGAAGACGTACACATACATTTTTATTGCAAAGAGACTAAGAGCCTGTGGCTTTAACTTTATCAAATTTTTCAATATTCTATAATGAGTTTCTTTTTTAAAAAAAACAAAATTATATCTCAGTGAAGCTGTCATTTAAAAAAGATAAAAAGCACACTCAAAACATTTTGGAGGACAAATTGTTTTTCCCAAATTTTTTAAAACAAATATAATTTTTCTAGTCCCTTCAAAGTGAGGATAGATAGGCTTTGAAGTTATTTGGGACTGTTGAGAATTTGGTAGATGCTAAAATATACATTAGATAAACAGCAAGCACCAAATACAGTACCGAGATCCAACTACTGTAACAGGTTCCTTAAACAGTCAGGACTTTACTAGTGTACTGCACTGTATCCCATATTAATGGTGTTCCCCAGAGTCCTGTAAAATCCAAGCCCTGCACGTACTTCACTAAATCCTTACAGTATTTCCAGGAAGAATTTATGAGCCACTTTTTTTTTTTTTTTTTTTTTTTTGGTACAGGTTCTCACTACACAGCTGAGACATGTAGTGATCCTCCTGTTTTCAGCCTCCCTAGCGCTGGGATTACAGGCATGCACCACCACACCCTGTCTCTGTGACTGGCTTAGCATGCCACAGGTGGGTGCCTGGGATCAAACCCCAGTCCCTGGGCTTGCCTAAGCATGCCTTAGTCTGCTGAGCTATCTCACGGGCCCATGAGCCACCTTTTAGAGGTTAAAAAACAAAAAAAAAAAAGACATGAAAACTGAAGTTAATAAACTTACCCAAGACCACAAAGCTATTAAGTGGTGGATTTGGGATTCAAATCTAGGTCTGCTGACTCCAGCCCCAAGTTTCTTCACTGCTACATTCCACCACTGGTCACAAAAGGCTAAGTATCTAAGCTCCTCATTACCTACAAACATGCTAAAAACACCACCTGGTCCTTATTCGATGGCCCCAGAGTAAAGTTTCCAGGATAGTATAAAATCATCTTCGTAGAAGACTTTAAACAAAGACGGCCACCTTAGCATTGCCTCAGGTATTATTCTCTCACTGCAGAGACAAAGTACCCGGACTCCAAAGTTAGAAGAGGAAAGGTTTATTTAGTTCCCAGTTCATATAAATGTCAGTCTGTAATAGGCTTGTTCTGAGGCAGGATGGTTTCACTGAGGAGAACAATTCTTGGTGGTTGCCAAAAGACAACAAGAACAAGTGACAAGCCAACCTTCTTTCTGTCCCTTTTATTGTATCCAGGCTACCGTGATTAGGGCGGTGCCAAACTCACCAGTGAATTGATTTACTAATCACCCCCCCCCCGTAATCCTTGCACCCGACCCCAGCACTGCACCACAAATCAATCACGCAGACTAGATTCAGCCTCCTCCGAAAACGCTCCGTCCATGACCACGTGAGGAGTTGGGGAAACGTCTAAACATACAAGCCACAACAGACAGTTATTCAAATCCATATAACAGTGCTACTATCAATCGTCATTTCTTTATAGTCAAAGTCATTACTCCCCACTAAATTATAAGGCTCATCTATTCTTATCATTAAGTCCAAAAATGACTTCTTAGAGCCCATGGGTAGTTTTTAAAATTAAAAAGTAATTGGTTGATCATGTATTTAAACAACATTTTGGGAGTAAAGTTGGCAATGCCTACCGAAATACTGCCACTTGAATCAATGATGTCACTTGTAGTGATTTATCCTATAATAAAACATGCTTATGAAACACAGAAACATACATACAAAGATGTTTATTATCCCATCCTTTGTAACAGAAGAGAGCAGTGCAAAATTATCAATGCCTATGAAGAGAGACCCGATCAAAAAACAAAAGCATAGCAATACACTGGACTACTCTGCAGCGGAGAAACAGGTACAAACATTAAAAAGACACAATAAAATTATTACTAGTAATACTCTGGTGACATGGGGATTGCATTTCAGTATCTTGTTTTTAATGTAAGTATATACTGCATTTGAGCAGAATAAGCAATGAAATCAAAACTCAACACAAAGCTAAGTGCCACGGCCCTCGCAATCCTGTGCTATGGTGGTGAACCTATGACACGTGTGCCCCTCATGTGTTGCCATGGGAACCAAGAATCTGCAGCAACCAAGCACCAGATATTCAGGTATAAATGCAACGCTGGCACTTTGTGATGTACTAGCAGGGTTGGGGTGCCCTTTGGACACTGGGTCTCCTAATGGTTCGCCACCAGTGCAGTGTACAGCCGCAGCCCCTGTGCCCCGCTCCCTTCAACACGACCTGCACTCTACTGCTACCTACAAGGTTTCTCTGTGCCAAACACCTCACCAGGCCCTAGAAATAACAAAATGACGCAGAGCCCCATGCTGTACGACTTAGAAGGGACGTAGCAAAAGTATAACAGCGCTGCCAGCACTTCCTGCTGGGGGCGGACCACGCGGAGAGAACGTGCCGATGCGCTCCTGTTGGCTGACTCCACAGCCTCTGGAACCCACACAGCAGATGGCTGTGGTGGGCACTGAAGAGCAGCCTTTCATGTCAACAACACAGGCCTGCCCGTGGAGCGGAACCTGTGTGCTGCTGCATCCTTTCCATAAAGCTAGAGTGGAAACACAGATCCAGGGCTCAGTCGGGAAGGGAAGAAAGATGCAGCTGCCATGCCCTGTCTCAGCATGAAGATGCCCCTCGACTGCCTCTCAGGCAGCTGTCACAGACTTCCACATAGTGCGACTGTCATGCAGATTTATCAGTGTATCACCTAGAAAAAGCAACTTGGAGCTGAGGAGAGAGCTCAGCAGTCTCAGGTCTTGCCTGGCAAGCGCAAGGACCAGGTTCGATCCCTGGTATCGCATGCCGGGCCAGCCTTGAACCCTGATCTCACTGGTCTCAACTTGCATCAATATTCCACAAGGCACACTGTACAAATACACGCAGTAAGTATAGTGCTGTGCAAAAAGTAGAGCTTAGCAGACTTGTATTCAAATCTTTCTGTCTGACTCTTAGGAGCTGTGTGCGGGGCATTGGGCAAGTTATTTTGCTCCTCATTTGCTAGCTGTCTATTGTAACCAATGAATAAAAGAACACATTCCATTAAAAGTTCCTACCTCGATAAATTCTCAATAAGTGCTCTGTTCCAATGTACCAGCAACTTTTCACTCAGGACTTTTTGTCTTAATATATATTTTTTATTTAAATATTTCCCAAAAAACTCAGGTTACTAGAGAGGAATTTATATTCTATAGAATATAGAGGTAACTGAATTCAAATACACTTAAACTGCTTGTGAGAGTACACAGGACAATTTAGAACCGGCAGTGTTAACAGTCCTGGGTACCACACAGAACTGAAGCAGAACTTCAAAGTGCAGAATACAGTCAGCCCACGATGTTCCTGATCAAATACATCACTAGCCACAAAACAGTCCCTGTCTTCATTCTTTAGCATCCAAGCCGAAACTATGAAAGGTTTCCTTGGCTCAGTTTTTCAGGGATCAGACTATCAATTTTTGCTAAGCAAAATTTATAGAAGACACTATTCAACAAAGTTTCAGTCGAAGACACCCAAATTTCACTCAGCATGTTTACCACATGTAAATTATTGCAAAGCCTCTGTGTAAATCATGAGAAACAGCCCAACAGAGTAATAAGCCCTAGGATAAAAAAGCAGTCAAAGACTCATTAACAGAACATTCATACATCGCTACAAACATAACTGTATGGCTCTGACCTGTCTATCAACTGTGTCACTTGTTTCCTGAAAGTTACAATCATTGAACATTTGAAGAATGCATGAAGCAACCCTTGCTTCTGATACTAAAAGCTGTAAATTTCTTCTGGCTTGCTCAAATTGAAAATTCTTTCATTCTTAACACACACTTTTTAAGGCCTTTTTTTTATAAACAAGGGTCTCATTATGTAGTCCAGACTAGCACTAGCAGTGATCCTCCTGGCTCAAACCCAGCTAGTTCTGGGATTACCAGCGTAAACCACCACGCCCAGCCCCAAAGACTTTTAAATCTTAATCTAGGCGTGCAGAATTATAAAACGGTCCTTTATCCCCAGGCAAATTAACTCGAGCTACCTCCTGCCTAGAAGCCGGTACCTCAAGAGCCCTCCTGAATATGCAGCTCCAAGCTTTCGCTGTGCCACATTCTCCAAAGCGACTTGTCTTCTCAGGTGAAAAGATTCCTTCACTAAACAGGAAATGTCCTGACACACAGAGGATGGATTAACTGCCAAGCCAAGGTGGTTCCCAACGGGCTACTTCCTGTGCTCTCACAGCGAAGTCATGATTAGGAAATGTGCTCTTGGCTCGGTGTTTTGTTTTGTTTTTCTGTTTTCTGAAGGATTTTTTTTTCTTTTCTTTCTTTCTTTCTTTTTTTTTTTTAAGCTACGAACAAGAAGCAATCGGGGATGCACAGCATCTCCAGGATGACCCCAGGACCGACGGAGCTGCAAGTGGTGACCAACATACCTGGCGAAAGCTGCAGATTAGCAGGCAACTGGATCGTCGCGGTGTTGGGGGCTTTCACGGTAACGATCTGGGGAGCGGACAGCCTGGGGCCGCCGCCCAGTTTCGGAAGAGCACTAACTGGAGCCACTTTGGTTACCAGGGTCCCCACGGGGGCCCGAAGCGGCTGCGGCGCCGCGGACTCCACGCTGACGCTGCCGGGCGCCTTAGTCACGGCGCCCCGGGCCAGCAGGGTGCTCTCCGCGCGGACGGGCGGCGCCGCGGCGGGGACCAGGGCGACGGTCCCCGAGGCGCTCACGAC